ACAATTAAGGAATCTGTATATAGGAGAATACTGGGTGTTTCAAAACACGCGATACGTATTTCCTTCGAATCGAGAGTAGCATTTCTTTCTTTCTCCCTTTCATTCATTCTCTCTTTCTCTCTTTCTCTCTCTCTCTCTTTCTTTCATTATTATTATCATCCTTGATTATTACCGTTCCATTTATATATTTCTCTGTTATTTTACCTTGACTAGTCTCCGTGTCACCCAGTATTCTGCTTCGTTATTCAAATTATTAACGAGTAAGTATATATTCGCTGCTAATATTAAGAAACATCGTGGTCGAGTGTAACTCCACGAACGATGTCTTACCTTATCAAACCTCCGAGATCCTTTATGCGAATACTTTACACGGGACACACCGTCCGATCGATGATAAACGTGGATGCCGAGACCACGTGCGGTGCTATATATTATATAACGTAATCGAAGGATATTTGAAATTGTTACAAAGTCCGTCCAACGGATAACGCGAGCAACGAATGAATAAATAAAGAAACAAATATAAATAAAGGATCTATGGAGATTGGGGGCGGATTTGATCGTTGATCGGTTTGCCTCTACCTCTCGTTTTTCTTTTTTAATGTTTTACAGTGTATAGTTTGTAGTGTGAATGGGGAACACGAAAGAGAGAGAGAGAGAGTGAAAGAGAAAGAGAAAGAGAGAGGTTGCTTTAGAAAAACAACAGCTCGTACTTTTTACAATGAGAATGAGACTGCCAAATTTTATATGTGTGTTTTTTTAGTGAAACGGCTTATCCATGGCTTTAAAGAAACGAAACGAAATAACTGAAATGGCAATGAAATTCGAGTAAGAATAGCTCTTGCTTCGCTCGTAGGTGCTGTATCGTGAATAAACGGACGTTCGCATACACCTGCACATACGTATACCCTGCTTTTCATTTCGATAGAGACGAGAATTCACGAACGAAACGAATAAGTAAACGAAATGCGCTATCGCGGCAGTCGGAGTCGAATCAACTGAGCATACGTACGTGCAAAAAATATAGTTCGCTTAACGCGAGATATTCGAGAAACGGAAGGGCAAAGGCCTGGAGCAAGCCGGTACAACCACAACAACGGAACATTGAACGCTTATAAAAAAATGCTACTCTTGACAAAAAAAAGAATGCTTAAACCGAAAACGAGAAATGACCATAAAAAAGAAACAAATTAATAAAAATAATAATAAAAGAACTAGAAGCTAGAAAACGAAACGCAGCTCCAATCACGATGTGTTACATAGTATAAAAGAATTCCACTGGCAATTTAGCGGTACATACGTTGCGTAGACGAGATGCCACTGTCAATTCGGTTGACGGGACGGAGAGGCGCAGAGAGGCCACGGTACAAAGACACACCTAGCGTTAGAATTGCGTTGAGAGAGAATTGCAATTGTCTCCCTCCGAGCGACCGATCAATCTGGACCGCGATCACGATTTAGATCGGAGGGCGGGGGCGGGGAATTTCTTTTTGTGGTTGT